CACTCCAAGCCAGCAATTCAGCCTCACTTATAGCTTGCACAGCCATGACCTCCCGCATTCGGACGATAAATGCACTGGTGTCTGAAAGCACAAGCATATCGGGATAGTGCATGATTAGAGTGGCGGCCAGGACTTCCGCGACTTCTACGTCCAAGTTTAAAGAGGAGTCTGAGAAAGCGGACGTGTTGGTGAAGAGCTGAGTCTGGAGCTGCTGAGCCCGTGCAAGAATAGGCTGTTCAAGTACGAGCAAGGACGGCAGTCGAGCACGTTCCTTGGGGTTCCATCCGCTCAAGACACGAGCGACCTTCTGGTCTGCCTGGGTTGTGCCCAACATATAACCGAAGGCTTTGTTAACCCGGTCAAGTTGCCAGCCACCACGCTCGATGATCCAGTTATCTGCTAGACTTCCGTCATTGGCGTGCATTGCAGCACCACGACGGTACGAGTGCGAGGTAAGTCCCGGTGTAAGTCTAATCTGCATCTCTTCGGCTGATGTTTTGACTCTAACCAGTAATCTGTTCACGTAGGCTTGGGCACCTGGTACGGCTCGATTGGTCTTCAACTTCGAGGTGTCCTGCAACGATACAGGGCCATCGTCGGCCTCTAGCAGTTCTACGAGGCTGAGCTCCTCTACATCACTGGATACCGCAGGATTACGTCTTGTAGTCAGGAATTGTGGAAACAGGCGCTTGTTTGGAGCCTTTTGCATTACGAGAGCAGCTGGTAAAGAGAAAAGCGGGCAGGTTAGGAAATTTGTTGGATCCTTGAACAAGGAAATGCCTTGCAACAAAGCTGTTTTAACTCTCTTGAAGCGGATAAAGAGCACACCACCTAGTACAACAACATTAGGACAACAGATTCAGTAAAGTTATAAAAACTCCACCGTACCAGGAAGAATTGAAAGTTGTTTTTTCTCAAGTTGCTCTGCATCGGAGCTTCGGCCGTACAGGTACCACAACATAACCAATAAGGAGGCATCAAGATAGATATCTTCTGCACCAGAAGTATACAGTAGTCGCACGATGCTTTCTAAGTCTTGCTTAGAGCAAGGGGGCGCTTTCTTTTCAAAAACACCGTCTTCGCGATTGCTGCAAACTTTCCCTAGACTTGATAGAATTTTTTGTAGCTGCGGCTTCACTACCTGACCTTGTTGGGGATACATGTCTAACAACCAGTTCTTCACGTTTCCGAAATACGCCAGACACGTATTCGTCGATCGCGATTTGTCTGTTGATCTTGCTAGAGAATACGCATACTTATCTAATATCACTCGTAGCACCTTACCAGTCTTGTCGGCATCGATAAGGTGATGAGCCGCGTCTAGTGTAATGCTTTCCGAAGCCAGAAATGTAGAGAACGAGTTGATTGCCGTCACCCTGGCCTTCTTGCTGTTTGCGGGAGCTAACGACTCGATGGACATGACTACAGTTCTGCTGATTGAGTATTCTTGTGATATCACGACAACCGACAAATTGGTTGGAAACCTCATGGTATTTTTAGAATATGCATTAATATACATATTTGTATGGAATATAAAATATCTTGAAAACATTCCAACCCAATATGGTTGGAATAGTTGGAATTTTTCCTAAGCCCAACCATTGGCTGTAATTATTCAATAATCTGTTTTCATTGGCTCGCAGGAGATGTAAGAATTATACAGAGTTGGAATAGAGTGGATATTATACCATAGAATACAGTATGTTATTTTGTCTCTACCAATCAGAGTCGTCGCTTAACCTCAACAAACGACATCTGTGATGTGTAATTACATGTGAGCGTGGCGATGTTACTCGGAAGGTGTTTTTGGAAATGAATGCGACGCTTCGAGTGGTTTTTTTTTTAAAGTTGCCTGCAACTTTTACTGCAGCATTCTCCTCAAGCTACGTCTCGCTGCCCAGTGGGTGTGCACTCGGCGCAGCGCGAGGAAAAGAACCCCCGCTGCAGTGGCGCCGGCACCACCAGCGCTCCATGGGTTCAACGCAGTGCCCAGCAGGATGACGCCCCACGCAAACTCGCAGCCAACGTGCAGGAGCCTTGTGGCAGCCAGCACACCTGCGCCATCAAACTGGAGTTTCTTAACTGTTTCTTAATAGTTTCTTAATCGTTTCTTAGTAGTTTCCGGATCGCTCGTAGAGCGGGGAATTAGTCCGTTTCAACCGCGTTTTTGGAATCTAAATGCGGAATTGTACGCTATGTCCCACTAAATTTTATGAATGTGCACCACATTAGCGCCTTGACATGATCAACTTGCTATACTTAGATATGTAGACACCATTTCCCGATCCAAGTTGATGCAGTAACTACAGATTCTTCCCTCGCTTCCGACACTGGAGTCGATAACCAGAGACCTTCGTATACTATTGATATCCTAGAATGGTGAAGGCGCACCTTTACGGTTTACCGCACCACATGAACCAAGAGACCCCAACGTGGAAGTGCGTAAGCTTCTCAACAGAATTCCTCTTTCAACCCAGGGGTGCTGGTGTCCTCTCTGCAGCGATGTCTGTGCAAGCAACTGCCTTAGGTTTTCGCAATAATGCAGTGGTGCTATCGGGTGCCAATAACCATTTGTGTCCATAAAACGTTGCTACACGACGCTCCGGTAGTGGCGGTGCCCATTATTCTACTCATAAATGCAAGTTGGCTCGCAAAGAAACTTTAGAAGCCATTGGCGTGATTTTAATTTGAGACTTAACAAAAGCTACTATTATAACAATTATTAATACATTTATTCTATTTAAGAAAGGGATGTTGAATTGACTGGCAGCTATTCGACTTAAATGTGTAGGCCTTCGGGCCTAAGCAGTGTTTGCTGATGTATGTAGTGAGCAAGTAGCTCTTGACATGAACCTCGATGATAGCCATAATATAAAGCAGCTCCTGAGTGGTTTTGCAATAATTAGACGATGGTTGATCGCAGCGCTCTGAAAAAATAAATATAATACAATTATTATAGCATTGTATTTATTTAATAATTTATTATTGGCTTTCATAAAAGTCCGTAAAATATAAAATT